GCACTCAATGCCGTCATCCATGTCGCTGACACAGATGTTGAACAGCACTGGACCCAGAACAGAACCCTGAGGGACACCGCTTGACACTGGTCTCCATGTAGACATCGCACCACTGACCACAACTCTTTGAGTGTGATCATCCAGTCAGTTCTTTATCCACTGAGTGGTCCATCTGTCAAATCCGTGTCTCTCCATTTTAGAGACAAGGATGTCAAGTGGGACAGTGTCAAATGCTTTGCACAAGTCCAGGAAAATGACATCCATTGCTTTACCCATGTCAACCAGTGCTGTAGCTTTGTTGTAGAAGGCCATTAAATTAGTCAGGCACGACTTGCCCCTAGTGAAGCCATGTTGGCTGTCACCAACCACTTGGTTATTTTTTATGTGCCTTAGTACAGCTACCAGGATACTGCGGGAGTCATCACAAGATCGCCGATTGTCCATCAAAACCTGAGTCAGCACTTTCTGCCAGGCTAGGTTAACCACAGTGAGTCGAGTTCCTGCCTTGTTTGCGCTACCAGGACAAGTAAAAGTTGCCAGGGCCAGGTGTTGGTTGTCCTGTTATAATTCACTAGGACACTAGTGGAAGACCAGAAGGCAGAACCTAACCCACTTGGGTAGACATAGGCTGTTTCACAAAGCAAAGAGACAGGATTAAACACTAGGAGAGCCCCAGCTATGTGCCTACAGGCAGCAGCATTAACACATCGGGATCCTCAGCTTTGGGAAAAGGGATAAAGATCACAGTGGGTTTAAGTCTCTCAACAGAGTATGCAAATGGACATAGGAATTTCTGCTGATCATGAGACAGAAAACAGTTTCTGCAGTATCTGCAGCCAGGATACAGTTTATTTCACATGTATTAAAGTTTCAGCTTGCTGTTCCAGTCTGCACCATCCCCTTCCCCATGCCTCTGATCCAAAAGCCATCAAGCTATTTAGTTTGTGTCATCTGCTGGGTCTGCAATAGAATTTATGAAGAGTTTCATTTCTTTGGGATCATCACGCTAGTAATTTTCCTAAAACACGCCTTCATGTTACAACAGTATCACAAGCAAAGGTACATGTTTTACGTCACATTATAGAATTTGGCCAAAATTTATTTTAGACTATGCTTCTTTCCAAAGGATTGGACTGACTTGCATTGGGAAAGGTTTCTCAGCTATAAGAGTTTCTCATCAAAATGATATCAAAACTGAAGCTTTCCTGAAATACTGAAAAACCTCCTCTTGCCTGAGTCAAATTACCTTCCCTTCATGTCTTCTGCTGTCAACCCTGTCCAGGAAGTGGACATCAGGAGAAAGAAAAGATGATGATGTAGTATTATGAAAGTTAAACCAGTCAATGGACTTGGGAGGAGGAAGAGAGAAACAGTACTGAGAAAGAGATAAGTAAAAGGGAACACGGCCGAGGAAACATTTTTTTTCTCAAGATAAACAATAAAATGTGCTGATTTCACTCTAATGCCAAAGATATTTTTTACACTATGACAAATTTTGTGATATTGGAGAACTATTTCCCATAGCTCTATCATCAAGTCCTCAGTCATAACTCCTCTGTACCTCAAACATAAAGTCCATCAGAAGTATAAATATCTGCAGTGTCATAACGAAAGTTTGGGAGAGGAAGCTGTAACTGCCTCCTTGAAGTTATAATAACTTCTTTACCCAACTTTAACAAAAAAAAAAAATCACAATTCTTTTCCAAAAGATCTGCAAGACTTCACAGGGATTCAAGGACAAAATCTGAGAAAAGCATCTGTAAAGCTTTGAAATTTCTTGAGTAAAATTACCATGTATTTATATTTCATCAGGCAGTAATGCCTTCATATCAAGAAACATTTTGAAAAGCTTAAAAATACCTTTATCGGTATTTCTAGCATTTTTAAATCACTTTACGATCGAAATTCTGAAACAATAGCAGCAAAGCTCCAGAACAAACACCAGTAACTTCTGCCTTACCAAGGTACAAACCTGTAACAGGACTGTGAGGTTTTCCAATAACATGGCCAATGCACTCATTCATCAGAGCTTGTAAACTCTAGAAAAAAAACAGAAAAATTTGTGATGTTTTATGCTACGAGAGAGTTGATAGTAAGACTCACAGTACTAAAATGACACTGATTAAGCATGCAATCTGTCAAGTAAGCACCCTCACATTCTATCAATTATATTAAACTTCTGGATCCACATTAGCGTTTTGACTTTGTTGATTTTTTTTTTTTTTTAAGCTAGAAGTCTTAGTCTTGTCTTGCTTTTTGACCTTGTCAAAATTATGTAACCATAAGAACTGAACAATGTACATCATAAAGAACATTTAATAATATAAAGCTAATGGAACATAAAGATATCCATTGTCAAAAAATTAAAAATCAAGCTTGCTGGAAAAAGCTGAAATAATCTCCTCTGCCCTCTCCCTTCCCACCCTAAGAAGAAACACACAAAGAAGTAAGGCAGCCTGAATCACAAGACTAATATCTGTAAGACGAAAAAAAAAAAAAAAGAGCAGCACTGCATATTAAAAGAAATCCACTTTCTTTATCTACCCATGGAGTTATTATGACTTTCACAAAAGAGCGTTCAATAGCTAAACCACTGAGCTGGGGCTCAGATAATCTGAGCTTAATTACTGGGTGTACACTGTGTATGTAACCTTGGACAAATTATCAAATCTTCCTCTGGTTCAATTTACTTGTCAGAACACCAGGGATAAAACATGTCTTCACAATAAAGAATTAAAATGATGTTCTTAGGTACAGTTGCTACGAAGGCCACTTCTATATACCAGTCATTTAGACCAGTCAAAATTTCTTCCAGAAATCAGAAACTTAGTGAAGACCAAGAACCTAAAACTAGGTTGATTAATCAACAACAACAACAAAAAAAAAAAAAAAAGAAAAAAGAAAAAAGTGTTGTATCTGTGATTGGTGTATCTTATCAACCCAGACTGAGATAGAATTTCAGCTTTAGACCTAGACAGTCCTTCTTCTATGACATCAGGTATTATTTAAATAAGAGATTAGGATTGACATACGCATTTCTAGGTGAAATGCTGTGACCTGTGTTATACAGGAGTTAGATCAAAGTGGCTTCAAGTGATGCTCTCCAAAAGTGAAATCCAGTTTAAGAAAGCAAGAGTTCAGAAATGCAGTTAAGGTTTTGTTTTCTCCCCCTTTCTCTCCCACTTGTTCAAAATCTGACTTCACTCCATCTTAAATAACACTGGCTCCAAATTCTCTTCTCTGTACATGTGAAACCTCTGTCATAAAAACACTCTATTTGAAGAAGTGCTATGATATCTTAGTTATCAGTCAACAGAAACAAATTAATGCATGATCATTTTTCAAGTCTCCTTCAAGGTCACAAAAGGTTATCAGTTTCATTTTTGGACAATATTAACAGTTTATACTGTCAAAGCCCACACTAGATTTTCTGAGCTTCTTTCCTCCTTAGAAGCTTCTCTCTAAACACTGAGGGGAACTCTAGCAAGATAGTATCACTAAAATATATATGTATTACTCTTCAAAATACCAGATGTTTTAGAAACTGTGCCAAAGCAAATAAATAAAGTTGAGAAGCTACTTCCTAAAGCTAAGTGTTAGTGTATTTCAAATACAAGCTTAACTCTGTCATTTAGGCAGACAACCCTTTCCCAACAACACATACGTGGGACTACAACACAATTTAGTTGAGGGCTCTTGATAAAAACATATGTGAAAAAAGACTAAACTACATCATTTCTGTATTACACAAGGTTAATGTGGTTGGCATTTCATAACACATCTTGAAATTAATACATATCAGAGGTGCTGACACTCACATTCTGGTATTTTGTGGCAGCTGTGCTTTCACTTCTCTGTAGTACTTTACCAAGATCAGAGAAATAAATTCTCAGAACTTTATTTCCACAGGAAAAATGGGGAAGGCAGAGCACACAAAAAAGCCAATTTTAGACTACTATTTTTTACATAGCAAAAACAAAAGAAAGATGCTTTAAGGTCTGTTTCACATTGGCATAATTTGAAGAAATACCTTTAAACAATTGTGACTTTGTATTCATATCCATAAATGAACTCTGGATGCTAACTAAGCCTCAGAAGCTTATATTCAGAAATTTATTGACAAATATAAATTGTAACTCTGCAGAAAAGGTGCTGTCAAATTTCGCAAGAGACAAAGGGAGATAGCCTCCCAAGACAGTACCAGCAACTTGTTGGCAATCTGAAAACATTAATGCCAGTGGTCACAAGTATACTCTATTCAGAATCTTACAAACTGAAGAGATATCAACATCAGTAGCTATATACAACAGCAATTGTTCCAGAACAGCATCTGTATTCAGACATAGCTGTATGAAAAATATCCCTGATAATATATACTGATAGCTTCGCATATATGTAGAAATAAACAACAAGCAGAGTAACTTATTCCATACCAAGAAATCATCTTCTGGGAGAGCTGAAATAAATGCTGGCTCGATGGCTTGAAGAAAATCAAAACCTTGAGTTGCCCACCTATCTCAAAGAAAGAGACAAGACAGAAAATGAATTGCTCTTTGGCTAATGCCATCATAAGAGTTCCAACAAGATCCAAAACCAGTAAGTGGTAGTTACTTATCTTTCCTCTGGGAAATATGACAAACTCTTTGTAAGAAAATGGATTAGCATATAAGAGGTAATATATTTAGCTTATATTAATATTCGCTCAATAAAGTGATCAGGCCATGCTATATATCTCAAATCTTATAAGTGCTATCTTCAGAAACAGTATCATCAATTCACTCACAATATGTTGGCAACAAGCCAAATCACAGTGCCTCCTGCCTAAATTCTCCTTTCGGAAACAAGATCAAAACAGGACTAATGATTTCATGACTATCTGATCAGCAGCAACTGGGCATCACTGGTTTCAGGGCCTAGATTGGTAAAGTAAAACAAATAAGTAACTTGGCTAGAGCAAGTTGTGTCTTCAGCCATTGCTCTCCTCGCACTGTCTCCTTTTAGATCTACTAGAATTAGCTGCTACAACCTACAATATGCAAGTAGAATCACAGGACATTCTGAGTTGGAAAGGACCCACAAGGATCATCAGAGTCCAAATCCTGACTCCACACAGGGCAACCTGACAGTTAAACCATGTATCTAAGAGCATTGTCCAAATGCTTCCTGAACACCAACAGGCCTGGGTTCATGACCACTTCCCTGGGGCACTTGTTCCAGTGCTTGACCACCCTCTCAGTGAAGACCTTTTTTCTAATATCCAATCTGAACTTCCCCTAATGCAGCTTTAAGATGTTCCCTCTTGTCCTATCACCAGACACCAGAGAGATAAGATCAGCACCTCCCTCTCCATTCCCCATCATGGAGAAGTTGTAGACAGCAATGAGGTCACCCCTCAGTCTCCTCTTCTCTGAGTAAACCTAGTATTGTCAGACACTCCTCCTAAGTCTTGCCATCCTTCACCATCTTCATTGCGCTCCTTCAGACATGCTGTAATATTTTTACACCCCTATACTGTGGAGCCCAAAAGTGCACACGTTACTCGAGGCAAAGCTGCACTGATGCTAAATATGGTGGGACAATCACTTCTTTCAGCCGGTTAGCTATACTGTCCCTAATGCACCGCAGGATATGGTTGGCCCTTTTCACCACCAGGGTACGCTGTTGACCCATATAGAGCTTACAATGAACCAGAACCCCAAGATCCCTTACTGCAGGGCTCCATTCCAACATCTTGGACCCTGATCTATATGTACATCCAGGATTACATCACTCCAGGTGCAAAATCTGGCATTTGTCCTTGTTAAATTTCATTAGGTTGGTGATTGCCCAACACTCAATCTATCAAGATATCTCCATAAGGCCTCTCTACCCTTGGCAGAATCAATGTCTACTCCTAATTTAGTATCATTGGCAAACTTACTAAGTATGTACTCAACTCTTGTGTCTAGATTATTGATAAAAACATTTCGGAGAACTGGCCTTAAAAACAGAGCCCTGAGGAACACTCCAGTGGCTAGCTGCCAGCCAGCTGTTACCCCATTTACTCCAACTCTTCGAGTCCAACTCTTCAGTCAATTGTTCACCCACCATACTGTGCACATGTCTACCAGTATGCTGGACAATTTGTCCAAAAGGATATTTTGAGAGATAGTATCAAAAGCTTTGCTAAAATAATAATAAAACAAACAAACAAACAAACAAAAGAGAAGTTGCCCAGAGAAGTTGTGGATGCCCCATCCCTGGAAGTGTTTAAGGCCAGGTTAGATGAGGCTTTGGGCAACCTGGTGTAGTGGAGGATTTCTCTGCCCATGGCAGGGGGGTTGGAACTAGATGATCTTTAAGGTCCCTTCCAACCCTAACCATTCTATGATTCTATAAAAAAAACCCCACCAAAAAACCCCACCACATCCACTGCCTTCTCTTTGTCCACTAGGCAGGTAATCTTGTTATAAAAGGATATTTAGTTAGTAAGGCATGGTTTGCCCTCCATGAACCCATGTTGACTTTGACAGATGACTACATTGTCTCTGAAGTGTTTTTCAGTAACACCCAGCGTAACCTTCTCCATAATTTTACCAGGAACTGAAGTGAGACTGACAGGTCTATAACTACCAGAGTCTTCTTTCTACCCCTTCTGAAAATTAGAATAACATTTGCTAGCTTCCAGTCAAGGGGGACCTCTCCAGACCCCCAAGACCGTTGCTAAATAACTGAGAAAGGTCTCACAATAACATGAGCGAACTTCTTCAGTACCTTGGAATTAATTCCATCAGGCCTCATAGACTTGTATGCATTCCATTGCAGCAGCAAATCTTGTACAAGTTGAAATTCAATCAGGAGCTTGTCACTCTCCTAGTTGTGATCCTCCAATGCAGAGCTCCAGGGGTCCCAGGGCCCATCATTTGTGTTAAAGACAGAGGACAAGGCAGCACTAAATGTCTCTGCTTTATCTTGGTCCCTATTTGTGAGGTGACCAATTTCATTAAGTAATGGACCAATGTCCCTCCTTTTGCTGTTAACCTACTTTAAAAAGCCTTTCAAGTTAATCTGGGGTTTGTGTATTTTTTTTGTTTTGTTTTGTTTTCTGTTTTCTTTCGTTTTTTAAGATTAGCACATCAAGCTCACTAGCCTATCCACACATGGTTCAGCCTACCCACTCCTTCCACCTCTTCTTCCAGCAAGCAGAACAAACCACCTCCAGGACAGACTGAGCAGCCCTATACTTTAAGGAAACAAAACTGTCACTGATACATTGATCTGTGCTAGCAGATTACACAAGGCACCTATTTTAACACAAAATAATTCTTTTAAATTTCTGATATATCAGCTGCAAAATACTGCAAAACCATGGAAATAAATCAAGTAACAGTATCATTCTGCTTGTGCCAGTTTCCCAGTTTCGCTGTTTACATTCTCGAACTGATGTAACTTTGTAGCTTTTCTCATTAGTGCCCAGCACTAGAGTTTCATAGCACTGACTTTAAGCACAATTGTAGAGACCACTGGGCACAACACTACTGTCAACAGAAAGTACTTCAGACTACAGCAAAAAGCCATCCACAAATGCATCCATTACTGCAGTCATAACACTGAAGAATTTTCACCAGAGCAGAAACACTTCTTCCTCATCTGTGGGCCATACTTCAGATGCTTTCAGAAAGGACTAATTGAAGGACTTCTACAAGAGGCTAAAGCTCCCAACATACATAATTTCTGCAACTGGCACAAAACAATACTCCTTTCTCTGTAGAATATCCAGAGAATGACTGTTGCATATCCTGCAATCTTTAGTGACTCCTGACCACATAGAATTCTGCTCCAACCTAATGAACCTTATCTAAATTTTTTCAATTGTGTGAGTCCAACAATCTCCACCTTTTCTTCCCATATTCTGTCAGCTAACATAAGGCAAAATATTCAACAAAATCTTCTGCTAAGTAGTTGGAGTGTTCATTTGGCTTTATGCATTGACTATTCAAATTACTTTCAAAATTTAAAACACAAAAGCGTCAATAGTTCAGAAGAACTACTTCTAAACAATAAAGCATTATTCACAATGTGAAAAGTCCTGCATGACATTTAAACACAAACTACTACAGCAGGAACAAGTAGGCTGTTACCTGGGTCGAGTGCCTCGGCCACTCTCACATTTTGTCAGCACATAATTCATCCATTTTCTGGCAAAGCTGATATACTTGTCTCCAATTTTCTGCCTGAATTCTCCAGACATCAGACGAACAACTTCTTTATGATACTGTAAGAAACTAAAGATTACTTTTCACATATTAATACGAAGAACAAAAACACCATTTCCAATATCCACTGGAGTATTTGCTGGCTAACAAAACTCTTAAGTATGGCAAAAGTCCCATCCTATTCTTAGACAAAATTATTTTATGCAAGCAGGTGCATATTTATAGAAAAAAAAATCATGAAAAATTATATGATACAAAACATGTTATCGTGAGCGGCAGCACTCGAGCCACACTGCATTCCTGTGTGTATACAGGCATGTGCTGATGTTCAACAGAGTACACATCATTTAAGAAACATCCTACATAAACGCTCAGTTCTGTAATCAGAGATTGAACTGCAAAGTAGTGTTTATTTTTAGATATATTGCAGGTAACATTAGGAGATAAAGGAGTTGTATACGTACATTTAAAAAAATTAAATAAAAATACCAGCTGTTTTTTCGAAGGCTACACTTAGAACTACGTTAGGGTATGATATAATATCAAAAAAAATTTTACAAAGCTCACAGGAATCAAATAGTGAAACAGTATACTAAAAGCATCTAAATATGACATTTCCTCATCAGCATGCTAAGGCAGGCACTCAAAAGCTATATTCACTGCATCAAAGAATCACCACTGAAAGAACGGCTCATATTACAGTATTATGCTATTAGGCTAAAAAATTGTGAGACGCCAAGTTACAAAATAACATACAATATCAACAGATTTTTCTGATTTCATCTAAAGTGCTGTCAAGTAGCAGAGCCTACAAGACTACACGTGAATTCATCAAGTCCTTAAAGCTTTTTAGAGTTCCAGGCATTGCTAATTGGAGTCTGAATTTAATAGATCTATCTGTTCTTGTTTCAATCATTTTCACTTCAGATTTCTGTGGCAACACATATTTTTTACAATGTTCTGCTAGAATTCTCCAGACTTCCACAGAGTTATAGTTACCTTATTTGGACCAACACAAAACCAGCAATTTCAATTGGTTCTTACCAAAACTACAAAACAAATGTGTCATTAAGTCTTTGTTTCCTTACCTCAAACCCAAAATTATAACCCTGAATCATGGCTTCCCGGTAGTATTGCTGCAAAGTGGCAGATTCAGATTCATCAACCTCAGCATCAAACTCCGATGTGAACATGTGATCAACTCTATCAATGGCACTGCTGATCTTATTGCATAGCTGTAATGCATCACTCTGAGCAACAACAAAAAGGGATTGAGGGGGTATCAAATTATTATTTATATTTTACAGTTGACAACATTCAGGCAAACATGAATCTAACAATTGCATTATTTTAAATGGAAATGTACTTTAATGCCATCAAAATTCATTCAGTCTTGGAAAAAGGAACGTTTTCCAGTAGCTGCACTAAGTCAGTCTTATAATTAACTGAAGTAGTATAATTAAATTTGTTTGTTTGAGTGAGATTAACTTTAAAAACAAAGATAGCAAGGGCAGGGGTGGGGAGGGTGGGGGTTGAACCACACCCAACCAAAATCAGACAGACAAGAACAGAGAAAATGAGTTTCACTAACTGTAATATGACCAAGCCTTTGGTTGTATTTTCACCCTGGTATGTGGGTACAGCTTCTGTTGAACTCAGGGGTACATGTAGGGACCTGATATTGTAACTTCAATCTAACAAATCTTTGCCTTTCTGGGGCCTCAAAAAAAAAAAAAAAAAACAAACAAACCAAAAACCCACAACACTCCACCAAAGAAAAATCTCATCTAACAAAAAAACAACCACAACACAAAAAAAAACACAACAAGAAAAAACACAAAAAAACCTCAAGCAACAAGCAAAAAAACACAGACAGACATACCCACTTCTACATCACTAAGCAGCCATCTTCTCCAAATATCAGGAAAAAAAAGTTGTTTCTGGCAGATCGTGAATTTTGATTGAATTTATTTTTATGAAATCGAACACTTTCTTTCAATTCAATAGTGCTCTCATATGAAGATGTACTTGTTCTGTTGCAATTAATATTTCTATCACATTATGGACTTGTTTCCCACGTACCCAGTGCAAAACTGGCTACATCAATATTGCTACAAAAATACGCTCACGGATCCTTTGCAAAAACAGAATGAAAATTGTACCGAAAGTACAGTCCATACAGGTTGCATAAATTACAACTGCACAATACGTCACTAGCATTGCAAGCAAGGCTCCTTACACGATTTTACTTATCAGTGAGCAAAGCACAATCAGTTTTGACTCGGATAATCTCAGAAACTGCTTACCTTTAGCTGTTGTAGAGCTTTGGCGATGACTGGTTGGCTGGATGTCTGTTCCTGGTGCAGAGATATGAGCCCTTCAATAGACTGCTGGAAAGCTTTTCTCTGACTCACAAGGTGAGCAGATTGAATGACGACAAGGAGGAGGTTATCAACCTACGAATACAAGATTACCACTAGTTCTTACAAACAAAATCCTCCCTATAAAAACATGTCCCATATCAGAAAATTCCAACTAGTTATTTTTTTCGGACAAATGCCATCACAAGTTTTCAAGGGAAATATACTCCTATTCACTTCTGGAAAAGTTTAGGAAATACTGTATTAAAATTATCTTTGAAATAGTTTTATACAGAAAGGCAGCATCTAAGCAAAATAATTATATTTTCTCAAAGCAGATTGAGGTAACAACCATCACATAAATAAATAAGTTTTATCCAAGTAACGTACTACACTTCAGGACAAAAATCTACTATTGAACAGGGAAAGCCACAGACTTACTACACAGTATTTGCTCAAATTTTGAAAATTACTAAAATGTAGGAATATGTTTTGGAAACCAGAGCTCTGATATGGCAGAAGTGTATAAAAGTACACAGTGACAGATGGTGTTGCCTTTGCTGTGGCACTATGAGTCACACACTAAGCTCTGTTGATTTCAAACTACAGACAATGCATCTGCAATAAGTTACTCACAAAACAAGACCTACTTCATCCAGATTTTCAATTCCTCATCCCTAAAGAATATTTTCATGCTCAAAATTCTTTAAACATTGATGGATTCTTCTATTTTATGAATATTTTTAAATAATACTTTACATTTTCTCTAGTTTGCAATCAAAATGTGTTTTTTTAAAACATAGGACATAATCTTTCTGAAGGATTTTTTTATTTCCTAATCTTTCAATACTGGATTTTAAAAAATTAAGTCAGTGCTATATACATACAATCACACACACAAACATAGTGTTTTATGTGCACTTATATATGTCAGATAGGATACTGTTTGCAAACCAAATTCCAGCTTTTGCTGTTTTCATTTTCTGAATGAAGAGTTAACTTTGACAGAAGTCAAATAAAATTCTGAACACTTAATCAAAGCGTATTTTTTAATTGTTCATTCTGGACAACAGACAAACAAGAAGTAACATGCTTGCTCGTTAAAACCAGCAGTATGTACAGGCGTGACTTTTTCGACTGCCTGTAACTGCTAGAGCCCTCTGGACGCCAGAGCTCAGGCACAGTGACGAGGAAAAGTCACTCTTCAAGGACAGTAGAGCCCATTTATGGTAGCGATCCAAGGAAGTGCATGACATACCAAAAGGAAAATTCTATTAGCTTAACATAAGAATATGAGAACAGGAGGGGCAGGGAGCTGCAGCTGGCTCAGTTGCTAGAGCATAGCAGAACTGCTGGCAGGGAATCCCTGTTGGCTTGCGATAAAGGAAAGTATGACTGGAAAGATTTCTTCCTGCAGAACTGTTGAACATCCAGTAGCTTTCACAGAAATACAAACTTCAAATGTCACAATTCATCCAAGATCAAAAGTAATTGGTTTCATGCCTCAGTGTGTGGAAAGCACACAACCGCCATACGTTCTTGAAGACTGGTGGCTTCTTAAAAATGTACAGTTTTCCAGACCTAGTCACACTTTTGATACTGAACATCCAACTAAATATTGGAAGTATCGCTTTATTATAAAAATCCAACCCTGAAAAATGCACATTGTAGAGATTAATCCTTTTAAGAAATGTTAACATCCACTGAATTTAATACTTGCATTAACACAACTAAGAATCAATCTCATCCTTGAATTTAACTTTTTATTACTTATAAAAGGACGCATGCCTCACTTAAACTACTGTGGTTAATCTGAAAGGATAAGCATTCACAGTAGTGTGGAGATCACATAAACAGGAAAAAAAAAAAAAAAACAAAAAAAAAACAAACCAAAAACTCACCTTCATGGATCGCAGTGTATCAACAGTTTCTACCTGTGGCACTACTTTGACTGGCTGACCCTCCCAAGCACTCCAGCTGTCATCTAATTCATGGTCTTTATCGCTGTATTTGGTCATTAGTAAGTAGGCTTCGTATGTGACCTCATCTGAATCCTTTGAGCAATCCTTTCCAGCAGCTGCATTAAGAAGCTGCAAAATCACAGATTTTTCACCTGCAATACTATTTGGTACAAATACTTGTAAATTCTCGAGTCCAGGGATTTGTACCTGTAGAAAAAAAAATAAAATATACTGAATGAGTGAATCTCACTGTCATCTATGATACATAAAATACATATATGTCATCTCGTTTAAGCGAAAGGGATATTTTCCATCTTAAACAGTTGTACAATATACATACTAAAACAATACATTCAGTCATTTTGCACTAAAAGTCAAAATGCATAAGAAATTACTTGTCTTGGAATCTGCTAGATCACCAGCTTTCAGTGGCATCTTTCCTTGCACCTTCAATTGATCCTTCTACATAGCCTTCTAAAGGAATCTTGTTACAAAAAAGTATATATATTTCACATATATAGTATACGTGTGTTTAGATGTATGTGTAAATATATATACACATATTTAAAAAAGTAAATTAGTCAAGACTAACATAAGACTTATGAAGCATGTATTTTAAAGACTGGAATACTAAAAGAAAAATTCCTTTGGGATCTCCAAGAAGCCATGCAACATTTCTCAATGGCTAGAAAAGATAAGTCTAAGTAAAAATACGGCTAAAAAAATATCAGTTATTCTTTTACTATTCATGAGATATTAATTAGGTCCAATAAGAGTGTTCTCTTGTAATAAAATACTACTTACACTACTTAAAAACTACTTCTGTATTGTATCTGTCACATCAGTAACAATACTTTAACCAAGTCAGGCATCAGAATCAGACTGTGAAAACTGTAAAATAGTTCATAGCTGTGATTTGACATGAGGTAACTGCTTACAGTGAATTTTAATTCTCTCTTTTCAGAGTTTGATGTCGTCAAGCTAAGACAAAACACTGCACTCAATGTTTTTACCATTAGGCAGCCATATTTTATAGTTAAAACCATTATAATCTATAGGTCAATGTAAAAACTAGATGGTTGTTACTGAAAGCTAAAATAGTTACCCAGAACTAATGAGCATCTGACTGAATAGGCTGTTAAAAATTTAAACTCTCTACATGACATGAGAGGGCCAATATATGAAGTGTTAATCACCAAAACGTGTGTCATTCTGAGTGGTGGAAAAAAAGGAGAGGTAATACATAAAGAGGGATAGATTTTGAGATCCAAACAATCTATCTAGATCATTTAACCCATGTGCCTACACAGATTTTTCAAACTCAAGGTTCATTTTTTTCTTCAAAATATGTGCATAAGAACAACAATACTATCTTTAACTAAAAGATCTACCAAATTTAATATTGCGTCTTAAAGCATGCAAGGGTAGATACCTGGGGAAAAATATTTTCTGAAAATAAACATATATTAGTCTCCCTGACTACTCTCCCACTCTCAAACAATTTAAAGACTGGGGTCCTTCTGAGCCAGATATTTCATCCATGTATTTAACAATCCTTTATGAACTCCTCTTCTATGAACTTGTTGGTCTCCCCTTGAACCAATTTCTACTTTTAGCAATAATTTATATAAATCTAACACGATTTGTCATGCAAAATTAGCCAATTATTTCTCAATTGGGAATTATATATATATTAGATATATGGAAGGACAAAAAAGAACAGCAGATCTAAATAAATTTAATCTGTTGAAGCAATTGATTTACTTAAATTCAAACTACAATAAAGACGCGTTGACCTCAGAATTTTTAAGGAATGAAGTGTGAAACCATAAATGTGGAAATTTATAACACAGTAAATATTGGGCACTGAGAGTTTAACCTACTTTTGCTGTACAACAGTTTTCTAGTGACAGTTAGTCTATAAGAGAATACAGGTCCCTGCATTTCTCACATCCTTAGTACTCTCAAGGAAGCTCACTAGAGCAAACCTCCAATATAACATTCATGCTTTATTAAACCACACAAAACACAGGACCATAGTCTGAGATTATCTACTTAAACATGTCCATTTACTGATGTAGCTGTTCACCTCAAACTTTAAAGCATTTATTTATTGTAACGCTCCCTACTAAGTGTTATTACTCCCTCTCACAAATGACTAAGTACTATTGAAGCAAAATGGCTCTTCCTAAGCCACAAAGAGAATCTTCGAGAAGACAAGAAATTAGACCCTGATTTTTCCCAAAACACAGTCTAGCATTCTCATTCACACAAACACAGGTACAGAAAAAAAAAATCTGTGTGCCACAACTCAATATTAAATACATGACATTTAAAATATGTTGAGATATAGATGCCACATTAAAAAAATTGAAAGTATGTCAATAAATAACCTTGACATTTTGCTTAGCGCCCTCCTCCGCTTTCATGCCTCTAAACTGAATTTACCTTCACATACTCTTTTGTTTTCAGAGCATTCAGAAGATCTCGCACTGGGGCTGACAATGCAAATTCTGCTGCTATTTCAAGATCCTACAAGCAGTAACAAAACAAAAAAATATGCTTTCAGTCTAAATTTCTTTAAAGCATATGAATAAGATGAGACTCTACTATTAACTTACCTTCCTCAGCATTTTAGCAAAACCAAGAGCTTTGGAGGCCCTTTCTCTAGCTTCATGAAACAGTTCTTTGAGTGCTCGGCTGGTCTCTATAACAGACCTCCTGAAACATTGGTAAGAATGAAGTGACAATGTTTTAATAAATCATATTGCATTTTTATAGCTATTAGAAAATAGTAATTACTTACATATTGCGTCAATACAAAGACCACAGAAAATATTTACAGCAGCTGACTGAAATAAGTTGAACTTGTTCAGACACAGTTTTGATAAGGATATAAAAACTGAATTTAAAGAACGTTACATAAAGAATCTCTTATACTGTGAACTAAAAAGAAGGTTACTAGGCTTCAAACAAACAAAATGACAGTTCATTACTACTACATACAGAAATACCAGCAATAAAGTCCATAGAGTCTTGCATTTAACAAGTTTTCATTCTAAGAAATAAAACACAATATGTTCCTGTCAGGGGTACAGAAAAATGAGTAAGTGTGTTTATTACTATGAAGCCGAAGGGCTTAATACCTGATTTCATCTGATGCAGTACTGTCATCGGCACTGGCCCAAAATTCATCACAACTGTCTTGTAGTCCAGAATCTAAAAACATTCCTGTAGATTTCAGCAACATTCCTGCAATATCACTGTAGCAACAGAAATGGTGGAACTTCAGAGTCTTATTCAGGTAGCATGGCACCTTAAACTTCTTCCTACTCTGTCGAACGCAAGAGAGTCGCGCTGCCAAGTCCGCCTGCAGAAACAAGCAGCAACTTGGGGGCCCTCAGTTCTCTACATGCACAGGGCTAGCGGGAATGAGGACTTTCCACAGAAGCAGTCGTTTCTGCTATAGCTAGAGTAAGAGCAACCTGCATTTACTGCATCCTATAGCTACAGTCATTGTAATAACCAATAAATTCACAAAGACTATCAACTGCTTACTGAGGCCTTAAGAAGCCCAATCCGGGAACCCTGAACAAGTGCTGACATGAATACGTATCTGGTACAAATCAACATCATATGCAGAGTAACTAAATAAAACCTACCAGAATAGTTTTCCAGCTTGAGCTTCACCTCCTCTTATATAAGGAGTTATTTCTTTGGTGAAATTCCATTCTTCCTCCAACAGATTTTTTAAACTATGAGACGCTTGAGGTAACTGCTGTAGCATTTGGATCCAGCTTCGCATATAATCAAAGTAAACCTGTACATGGAAAGAGATAATTTAAACAGAAATTGGTACACAACATGTAACAAAGGACTATAACTTCTCAAATCAATAAATAATCTCAATATTATACAATGGTAGAACATAGTTCTACAACTTTGTTAAGACTGAAAATGAGCTACATGTTTCCACACAACAGGTGCCATTTATGGCTTGGGAAGTAGAAAGTGCTACTGAGGTATTAAATACTATGTCTTCACAGTACTGTTCTGAAAATATTGACAGTATCACCACCTTGCTTGCTGAGTTGCTATTCATCACAGTATCAGTGAATACCCACTGTGGCCAGAGTTTTTAAAGCTGAACTACTGAAAAATAGTTTCTAAATCTTTTATTAACTGAATTACTCCAAAAGGTTTTATCTGAACATATCCTCCTGGATACGGATAAGTGCAGTGAACAGGCTTCTCAGATTCTACATTATACTTGCATTCCTTGACATCAAGTCTTGTCTCTCACCTTTATTTAATTACTGTTGGCTTAAATCAACATAAAAACCCAGGTAAGTACAATTCTTCAACTTTCAGGATCGTATTGAATGCAAAATATTACCTGCAATTTTACCATATTTTAGTTAAATAATCCATAACATCAATTATTGTCCCTCCTTAGAATGGTTAAGACACTTCCTATTGGTTTCAGGTATTTTCAGACCACAGTGTAATAATGCCAAGATCATAGAATGGTTTGGGTTGAAAGAGACGTTAAAGAACATCTAGTTCCAACTCCCCTGCCATGGGCAGGGACACCTTCCACTACACCAGGTTGCCCAAAGCCTCATCCAACCTGACCTTGAACACTTCTAGGGATGGGGCATCTACAACTTCTCTGGGCAACCTGTTCCAGTGCCTCACCATCCTCCCACCAAAGAATGTCTTCCTTAGATATAATCTAAATTTTTCCTCTTTCAGTTTAAAACCATTACCCCTTGTCCTATCACTACACTCCCTGATAAAGAGTCCCTTCCCAGCTTTCTTGCAGGCTACCTTTAGGTACAGGAAGGCTGCTAGAAGGTCTCCCCAGAGCCTTCTCTTCTCTATGCTGAGCAACCTCTGCTCAAGAAGGTTCATGGTCTTTCTTATGCTGGGGGCCCCAGAGCTGAACACAGCATTCGAGGCACGGGTCTCATGAGAGTGGACTAGATATGGAAAACCTTAAAATCCTACTCTGGGTTAGGTAGGTACTATGTTCTGATAGTCTGAGGCTGTAGCCCTGTTCATTATCTAATTCGCCTTTCACTCTCAGCCTAATTCCTCTTTCAGTACTCTTCTTAGCTACCTTGCCTGCCTATACAAGGAATTCACAGGAAAAGACAAAAAGTAAGTTCCACTCCCTAGCCCTCATTAATCCAGTCTTAACCTTCTGATTTCCTACAAGTTTTCACTTTCTCCATTTTCAGTCCAGATCATCTCTTAGCTCTCTTTGCCCAGCTGTCCCGATCCTCTGACAATCTTGACCATGCGTCCAATCTTCCCCTCCCCTGTTCCTGGCACTACAGTAACCTGCAGCTCTGAATAGGCACAAACTGTGATTCTTTGAAGTCTGATGTATTTATTCTTATTTACACAATCTTATTACCATTCCTTTTAAGACCTACAAAAAGCAAAACCCTTACACAACTAAAACTGCTGCCAAAGTTCAAGCTCTTGCCTCAAAGCACAAAAACATTACAGCTACCTAAAAAGAACCAACCAAACAAACAAACAAAAACAGCTAAAGAATTTCAAAATGGACAAAATGGACAAGATAAACCATGTTCCTTTCATCTAGTCAGGTCGTTTCTGCTGGATGTTTCAAGAAATCTCAGATGAAGACAAAGGCAGGCACGCAGCTTAAGAAACTTTAGGTAAAACAGTATATTTTCACCACTGCAGGCAACGACAAGCATGTAATAGGAAAATTCATGCGTACTCAACAATACATGGTAACAACAGCTGTGCTGACAAAACACTAGTGATGAGATATTGAGGTGCATCTTGAGGATTTTTTCCCCAGAATCATGAGGACAAAAGTTCAAACAACTCACAGAAGAATAAAATCAGTCACATTCAAGGAAACAGTAATTTAAACTAAATTTACTAAAGAACATTTCACTTAATATCTTTCAGAGGCCAAGTACTTGTCTTGAAAATACTTCCTTTTGTTTAACTTACTGCAATAATGAATACACATTAGAAATAAGGTATCATTAATGGACGAATACAATACCAAGATATTAAGACATGATGTTGACAAAACAATTGTGTTTATTTTTTTTTATTCAATATTAAAAGGTTATCAAAAGTTTAGTTTAAATGTATGGAATTTACAGTTCTATTTGTGAACCATTTTATTGTAAATATAAGCAATTTACAAGTATACAGCACCACAGTCAACAAAAACCAGTATTGTTAAAATGGCAATGTCTACTGTGTTATCTTTACAAGTCCATTAAAACAATAAAATTATGTTAAAGTAGCACAACAACAAAAAAATAGCAAGATCTATACCCAACAGGGACAATAAGTTTCTATTAGCAGTATTGAGATTAATACAGTTACTAGAACTCTTTTTCCTTTTTGAAACTTACCATTAGCATTTTATGTAGGTCCTCTTCAAAAGAGTCAATGTTGCAATCGATCTTTTGTAGGTCATCTAACACCTCCCGTAACATAAACTGGTAATATTGCTTCATTAACAGGCCACCCTTCAGAACCTCTTTACACTCTCTTACTAGCTGCAAGAGAAAAGAAAAACCCAAAAACTGCTATCACTAAAGACATTACTCTTAAAATTCTCCCTGGGAAGTGAAAGCTCAATTTGTCAGTCCAGTTTGTCTGTTAGTTTATCACTACATAATTTCTACAGTTTTTAGAAATAAATACAGCCACTCTACATGTCTGCAGAAAAGATGTGACTAGTTTTCCAGGATTATTTAATTGCCATCACGCCATTTGCCACATAACTGTAAATGGAGATGGAGGCAGATGTTTCAGACTTAATTCCCTGCACAGGGGCACAGCTAGCAACTTACTGGATAATGAAAAGGTTTAGAAGTGGGTAAGAGGGCTCACAATCATCAAATCACCAGTTCAAATAGAAGTAAGTCAAGAATAATATGCATGTTTCCTCTCCATGCATGGAGGGGAAACAAGGGTAATACTCTGAACTGTGTAGTTTAAAACTCAACAATAGTTGGGTGAAAAAGAAATACCACACACTTGTTTTTTATAAGGTGAAAATCCAATAATTACAAATTTACATCTGTAATGTCATACAATTAAAAATGAATGTGTTCGATAGATGCTTAGAGACCTAAAAGAAATGTTTTACTACAAGAAATACATTGCTAATCTATTGGGCAGGTGTCCACAACTCTAAAACCCATACTAGACTTGAAAACAGTTTTTCTTTTCTTGCTTCCCTGGGCAAGGCTAACATGAGGAAAGTTATCTTTTCAACTGCAGAAGTGGTCCCTTTTGCCCCCTGCCTGAAAGCTTACAGCTTCTATTTATTTAAAGAAATGTCCACAACCACAGACATAGGAGCACACAAAGAGCAAGAATGGTTTCAAACCTACACTAACAAATGCCTTTCTTTCATTAAGTACTTCCAATCCTAAGTGTGTATTCTTCCAAAATTATCATCAGTCTCCAGGTCTGACAATCCCCGACCTTTTCTGAGCTACAACTTCACTAAACTGAGAGTCTGAGAGGAAGAGAAGGGTTCACTTGGAGGGTCAGAGGGAATGAAATTGTTGGTTGGTTCATTTGTTTTTAAAAATCTTCTATAATGGCTATCCTAGTAAAATAATATACCAATGCAGTGGAGTCAATGTATGAGAAAATATAATGGCATGAAAGTAAAAGACGTGCAATAATGTTATTAATATGACAAGAGTCATTGGAATCTTTTACAGGCCAGAACACTACGCTGTGCTCCCATGCACGGAGGGGAAACAAGGGTAGTATTCTGAACTGCGTAGTTTAAAACTCACCAATAGTTAGGTGAAAAAAAAAAAATACCACACACCTGTTTTTCGTAAGGTGGAAATCCAATAATTACATCTGTATCATCATACAGATACAAACAATAAAAATTAATGTATGTACATTTAAAACGAATGTGCATTCTTCACTCTCCACTCACTCAATCACATTTAGCACACTCTGTGTTAACCTATCAGAGATTTTTGCCCTTGGATCCACAAAGGAAAGCATAACTCATTCAAAGAATTTAAAATTGATATTTAACCACCCATCACAGAGACAGATGGGATGTGGCAGTATCACTTACCTTATCCATAAAACTACTATATAGTATGGCATCTCTTACAGATATAAGCAAAGTTCACTTTCAAAACTCTCAAAGAGTAACATTTGTCTATTCCAAAATAAAATACTCTCAAAACTTCACTAAAAAGAGATTTTTTTTTTTTAAATAATACTGCCATGCAGCGATGTGTAGTGCTATTGAACAAAAGAATATAGGATTTAGAAAAAAACCTGTAGTGCTAATTTTAAGAGGCAAGTTTTGGAATTGAAATTCACAAGGCAACTAATGAGCACACTAAAGAATGTGCAGCTTAAACTGAAAAATAGTATCACTATTACTGGTTTCTTTGATGGGCTGCTCTTTATCTAGAGAGTTTGCAGAAGAAATTATTTTCTGCAAAGCAGATGAGGCAGGTCACACAGCCTCCAGGGTACTGTAGTTTAAAGTAAGAAAGTTTAAATTAAGCTTTCTGGTTTTCGGTGGTTTGGGTTTTGTCTGTCCCGCCCCCCAATATTTACTTGACCTACAAAATAACAATCTGTCACCAAACATTCAAATTTTTGTGGTCCAATAATTTCCAAAATTTACATCACGCCTACTCTAAGTGACCTATAACTACACTCAATACACAAAACCTGATTAAGCAGAACACAGTAACTAGTTAGCACACTGTGGCCCACTGTGTCAGTCACTTATCAGAAACCAGGGAGGTGTGACTTCTCACTTTTCAGCTAGGTCAGACTACCTCAGGAGTTAATGCATGCCATACAACAGTAACAGACCATAAGCAGTCTACACAAAACGCTGATGGCTGCCGTAAGGACTGTTGACCTAAAAATTCCAGAAGGTACCACATGCTGTTAAGATCACCTACACAGGGTGCTGATCATCGGATATGGTTTTCCCTATCCAAACACACATCTTCTAGTTGGCTGCTTCTTTAATCATTAAAACATGTTCGAATACTACCTGGTTAACAGGTGTGTTGATAACAGAATTGGTAATTATGAAATCAGCACCTACATCAACATGCAATATGCTATTGTGCTTCTAGCTGTAGACTTAAATGGGTGTCTGAAGAAGAAATTACTTATTTGTAATATATGAATTTATATTGTTTATGAAATGACAAGATCACCTACTACCCTTTTGAAGATACAAATTGGTATGAACGATGAAGACAGATCTGGTAGTGATTCTGCAGAAGATCATGGTGCTCAACACAGGTTATAAATTAGACACTATTTGTCTGTTAACCACCTAACAGAAATAACCCAAGTGCACATGCACATACGTACACACCCCACTCACCACTTCCCAGAACAAATGCAGAACTTGAGAATCATCTTGAACTGTTCAGGAACTACACTGTCACCACATAATGGCAAATTGCCTTTAAAAAAGAATAGTGCTCTCCAATACACAGGATCATCAGGATCACAAAAGCTATTGCTAAAAGTGAAACATGGACCAGATGGCTCGAAAAGGGGAAGAGAGTGGAAAACGATGCAAGAAAAAGCACACTGTAGGAAGCATATAATCTCTGCTGGTTTTCTTTTTGTGTACACTTTTACTTGCAAATCAGATTTTTAAAAAAAAAAAAACAAACACAAAACCAGAATTGACTTGCTAGTAATCAAAAAATTTAACCTCACCTTGGAAAAGTTGTATATCAGGACTAGTATGCCTGGTACATTCAAACAATACTGCTACACATTTCAAATGGTATCAAGAAGTAGGAGACACATAAGGTCTCAGCGCCCCAATGACACCCACTAGGTCCATCACTACAGAAACCGAACCGCGCTGTGCTACATGTGTACGAAGAACAATTCAAAGGACTGGGGTTTGTTCAGCCTAAAGAAGAGAATACACAAGAGGAATCTAATCACAGTTTTCCAATGCCTAGAGGGTAGTTACAGAGAAAACGGGGGCACTCCTTTCACAGTGATGCACGGTGACCCGACAAAAGGCAATAGGCACAAGTAGCTTCAGGGAAATTCTCTCTGGATACAAGAAAAAAAATACCTTACTGGGAACAAAAATAAGCACTGGAAGAGATTGGCTGGAGAAGCAGTAAGTATTTGTGATCTGGAAGTATCGGAAACTGATAACACTGAAAGTATTTGTGATCTGGCCTAACAAGGCTCTAGATAACCTAATATAGGACCCAGCTTACACAACAGAAGGTTGGATCTGAGTATCTCCAACTCAGACTTCTCTGTAATTCTGTAAAATTCAGTGAACTTGCAGAACAAACAGACCCCTAAACTCTGTTTTGAGCCTGCCCAAGATTTTAGGAATTATAATTCTTCAGGAAACAAATAGATCTATTTGTGAAATATCCTCCACAGATCCTTCGCCTGTTCAGAAATATTGTGTGGGACAGCAAGCATTTGCTGAGTTGAATTCATTTCTTCAATGTAATCAGCAAGAGTGTATACACCATCCAAACAGTCTGTAACAAACACACTGTTTTCCAGGAAGAAAGTGTTATTTTTATTTAACTTAAAGTCCACAAAGAGAATACAAAATGTAAGGGCAAAAAAATAGCCTGTCTCTGGGAAGAAAGGATATATTGTGCTTTACAATAGCATGCTATACTATATTTTACTGTAACTATGACTTTTAAGATTGAAATTGTAGGTACTGCGCTTTTGGATACAAGGGCATCCAAAATCCTAGTATACTAAGGGAAGAAAAAGGAAGGGAGGAAGGTGGAAGGCAGGGACAGGAAGGGGAAGAGAGAGGACTGAAATTTATTTGAGGCCATAAAGTAACTTAGCAATTGATTTTGGAGCAGCAGAAAACTGAAATGTGAAATAATAAACAAGCCAAGAGCTTATTTAACTGTTTACCCTTAAAGACCATCTGATAAAACTCTGGTCTGGTTATGCTTGCCAAGGAGCAGGGAGATGACTTCAGACAATTTTAGTATGTCCTGGATGAGACTTTGAAAAATGGCATTAATCTAAACAGCATTTATTGTATCAGATAACTACCAGAAAAGAAATCATCTCACAACATTCTCAACCAGTGACAGGACTGACAATCTTGGGTCACTACCCACAGAAAATATCAGATATTTATATAAAGCAGTATGCTGGGAAACAAGATTTTTTTTAATATTGTTTTTCTTCTTAATCAGCTTCCAGTATGTGTCCACTGTATGTTGACAAGGAAAAAGGATCAAATCAAAGAAAAAAGAAATATACAGACCCTTAGAACTGGTTACACAGCCTAAGAAACCCAAATGGAGCAAGATGTGCTGGACAAGGTTATATAGCTTACAATGCACATGGAACAAATACTGTTTACCTTCATTGGCTGATAATTATTTAATCATCATTTTTGATTTCTGGAGGTCTAAATCAGAGAGGTATATATGACCAGTTGTTCACTATGCAAAAACCAGTTCTCTACACGAAACACAAGACTACTTCTAAAAGTTATTACATAATTACACACTGTCATTTCTTAAAATAATCCTCTTTAAACTGACAACCTTATCATAACAAAATGACAAAGTAACTGCAAGTAAGAAATATAAAGTAAATTTAATAAACAGTTGAAGCAAACCTGTTTAATACTCAGAAGAGATGGCTCCCCGGCAGGTCTTTGTTCCAACCTTAGCTTGAGACACTCATGGATAACGTTGAGCAGGACTCGGCAGAGGACCAAGAATGCAGGTTCAAAAGACGGTAAATCCATGGATTTCAGCTCCTCCCATGATACAGTGCTGCATTTTTGCTCACAACAAGGTGGAGAATTTAATAACTGCACATAATCTGAACACAACATGGGATCTGGAAATTCTGAAAACTGTAATAAGAAATAGGCATCATGAAAAGGATCCTTGAATTCTTTAGGTTTTAGCATTTGTTTAAAGTAGCATGCATAAAAGTCTATTTTTAAAAGGTAGGATTCTATTAATTAGCAAATCAACCACAGAAGTTTCAAATATTTATTTTTTTAAAGCTAACTTTTTAAAAATCTTTTTATTAGAGGATCAGCAGGCTGAGGAAAACAACTACGGACTGTTGGGAGAGAACAAAACAATCTCTTACTTGATGTTTCTGTTTTAAAATGATTAAAGCATTCATTAAAGCTAGAGATTACCTCACTACACAGGAAGAAACTACTGTTAGAGGTTACGATGAACATATTAATTAAGCCTAATATAATATATAACGACCTGAATATACGTTCCTTTAAGATACAATACTTGATTTCAAATTATATTTAAAAAAAAAAAAACAAAAGGTCTTACACTAATGACTGTATCTAGGGAAACAAGTTTGCATTTGGCTATGTTAGGTGAGTCACCTCATCCCTTTTCAAATTCATAGTGCATATATTATATAAAACTCCACATTGGAAAGTAATGCAATATCCAAGAAAGTGTCACCATCTAAGTTGAAAAAAACTACTGAAAAAAAAAAAACTTATGAACTTTGCTAGATATTAAGAAATTGAAACAAATTAAAAAAGGAAGATAAAATATAAAAAGATCAAGCTTTTTTTAACGAATAAACTTATTTTTAATTTAGGCTAAAATTACATTTAAATGAAATTACATTCTAAACAGAGAAAATAATTAAAACTATCTGAAATAGACATCCTAGACATCTAAACTGTATATCTTGTGATAACATTCTAAGCAAAGCTGTATATGGAGGCACTCTGGGTTCAAATTTAGGAAGAAAATTTGGGCTGTAATATGTGTGCAGCTCTTGAAGATAACACACTATACTTCATCTAGGGGTAAGATTTGTTTCAGATTATGTTTGGTTTATTCTAATTCTCATTTCACAGCTGCTAACTATAACACCTGAATATCTTTCATTCATGTGACATACATAAATTTGTCACTGAAGAAAAAACTAAAAAATGCTAACTTATGTCACATCAAAGGAGAGGAAAACAATACCAGAAATCAGATCAAATTAAAAAGTGCTGCCTAGAAAATTAAAAACATTTAATCTATTTTTAAGCTTATTATCTAGCAGAAAATACAAACCAAAATTTAAAAACAAAAGAAATTGCTTATTCCTTTACAACTATAGGCACATTTTTGACATTTGTGCCTACAGTGTACAAGCCCTGCTTTCTCAGAAGAGCCACACAAAATTACAGCTACTGACAAAGTCAGTTTTCTTAATGTTTTTTATTTTTTAATATTGTGATGTTTCTCAGCTGTCATGGGGGATGGAACAGCATATTCATTACTGTCTAACGTTGGCACAAATCGTATTATGCGCTGCAGATTCTTAAGTAGCTATAAAACCACTAGCTCATTATGCAGAGATAGCAAACATGCATGAGTGCGGATTTCCTTTATACCTAGTTTAGCTGAAGTTTAATCACTAGTTGATCTACAGTATAAGAACTTATCTCCTTAGATGGTATATTAATGTATTCTTTCTACTCTCTTTTAGAGAGGTGTATAGCACCAGAGTACCACCAGAGCTAAAGGCTTTTATACAAGAAGTTTTCAATAATAACAGATCATGCAAATACTACACTTCTATAGTACAACAAAATATTTAAGAAATACATTCCTCACTGTGATGCAAGTGTTGAAAATTTAGTTCTTATAAAAATATTAAAGAACTAGTCTATGAGCAAAAAGAACAACTTTATTCAATTCCGTTGTGTTATTTCATTTTCTAACATTAAGGATAACAGCACATGACATTAGGGCTTAGTATTAGACATCTAAACTTCTATTGTCAGTTTGACTAATCTTAACCTCAGTGGGCCCAGTCTGAAATGTTTCACTTGATTACCAAATACTTCTTGAAAAAACCCAAGAAAACAAAGTCCAAACAATTTACTGAGATCATACATAAAATCCATACTCACAAGCACAGTCAGTTGAATAAACAACAAGCAGGGTCCACAGACTTAAATACTGTTCTACTAAAATAACATCTCTGATTTTGTAAACTAAACTAAGAAATACTAGCCATGTTCTTCAAGAATCAAATCATACAACTTCTACACAAAACAGACTCTGCAAGAGTCTAGGCACTTTAACAGTGCCTAGAGCCTTGTTAAAGTACTAGAGCCCATGACGAATGAAACGTACTGCAAAAAACCACTAAAACCAGCTATCTGTATAAACACTGACACGTATTTAAGATTAAACAAGCATTCAAATGGATGTAGTGGAAGAATCCAGAAAGCAGATTTTAGATGAAACATAGTGGTTAAGTAACAATAGAAATGAAAGCATGTCCAGAGATTTTAAAGCGTATGAACGTTCATAAACACAGAGTCAAGATACAAAAGTAACAGAAGAAACAAAGATTAACAAAACACTAACAGCTCTGGCTGCATACAAATAGCAAACGGAACTGCACTTAAAACAAAATCCAAGACACTACATTCAAAGTACTGTCAGATGCAAAGACCAAGCAATTCAAAACCATCTCCTTCTGTTTTAGTTTGATGTCATCTACTGCCGCAGCAGGTTCCACATTTCTGACAAACAGTATTTTCTTTTTTAACAACACTCTTAATTTGGGGGCAGGAAAGAAGTAAACAATTTTATGACATTCACCTTTAGTCAGAAAGTCATTTCTTAAAAGAGGACAATATTTCAAAGAAAATGTGATAATAACTGAAAATTACTGCCCCATCCCTGGAAGTGTTCAAGGCCAGGTTGGACGAGGCTTTGAGCAACCTGATCTAATGGAAGGTGTCGGGATGATCTTTAAAGTCCCTTCCAACCCAAACGATTCTATGAAAATGAACACTCAAAGAAGTCACGAGGGTAGAGGAGGAGGGAGGAAAGATTAACTTTACATCTTACACGTTCAAGTCATTCAAGCTAAATTACCAAAAAGTTTAATTCTGTAAAGCTGCAGCAAAGACTAGCTATTAGCGTTTCATTAGCTTGTTTTAAGAACCCTTATGAAGTCAAAACATTTGAGGTATTTAGCAATTTCAAAAACACATTCAACTTAGTTTTCAATACTCCTAAATTATGTTTTATTTCCTTTGTTTTTAAAGGTATTTCTACCTATACAAGAAGCTGAACTTTCTATCGAAGATATATATGGTTTGGGGGTACTTTTGTTTACTGTAACAGATACCTGCAAGTTTTGCTTATGCATGTGACTAGAAATACACAAAGATTTTCTTAATGCAAAATTTCCCATAACACAAGTTGAAACCAATCAGAAAATAAGTAAAAATTCAACTAATAGCTTCATTTTTTCCAGTAATATCTACATTAGCAACAATATAAACCGTTTCAAAATCAAGTAACTTTATAAATATATTCATCCTAGAAAAATAACCTCCAAGGGAGATAAAAATTCTTGCTCCTTCTGTAAACGTGACAGTGAACACTAAGAGATCAGCAACATGTCAAAGACCACATGTGGTATTCATATTAGAATATATATGTTAGCTAAGAAATTCCCTCATTCAAAAAAAAGGTTAGCCCCCCCCCCCGCCCCGCAGTGCCACTTTATTGAGGAGGGCAAGTAATCCTTACTACTAGTTTCTCCTAATATAAAAATTTCTACGAGTTATGTAACAGTTTATATTAAGAAAAAATATTCTGCCTTGAAAGAATTAGTGACCACAACTTACCATATGAAACTTCAGCTACTGTCTTGTGTTTACTGCTTCATAATTTTGTTTTTATTAACTCACAATCATTCTTAATAAAGAATACAAAATGATTCAAAATGAAAAATAATAATTCAACTAAGAGCCAGCTGAAGAACGCAACATGCTAATATGACTTGCTTTCACAGATTACAAGGTTAAGAGAGTCCATTTGTCTATCTGATTGGGCCCCAAGCATAACATGTCACCACAGCACTTCACTCATTTAAGATGAGGAAAAACCCAAACCAATCGTTTTCATACAGGATGTCTTGCAGAGAGATATCCAGTCTTGAAGATAAGAAAGGGAAAATGACCGCTTCCATTGCTAATTTTTATCATGATTCAACTTTTGTGCCTAATTTACTACCGTAATTTTTCTGACTTATGGCTTTAGACATTAGAAAATGTAATGAGTAAGGATATTGTCATAAAAACATCATTTCAGTTACAAACAAGAACAGAGAACTAGCTTGTGCTTCACACAAATTCTAATTCAAGTCAAATGACAGATTCATTTCAGTGGAAGCAGAACTGGGCTTTTAATCATAACATACACTACATTTCAAAAACCAACAAAGCGACCAAAACTTTCCCAATTCCTCCAGTTTCAGTTAGAAACAATACAGCAGGGGAGATACTCCTGTTTTCCATTTACACTAGCAGTAACTTACCTCCAACTGGTGATCACTCCTCACCAACGCCATACGGGCCCTTTGCAATGAACCATGCATTAGCTTGTGCAGTCTTAAAATTAGTTTCCTCAATCCCATTTGCTTCAGTGCTTTATCTACAAACGGCCTGTAAATAGAAGTCAAACAGTGTTGGCTGCAGCCTGCCTCAGCGCTGCATTCTGGAATAACCAAAGAGGCAGAGTCATCCCCAGATTCAAGCCTATCAAGCCTCCTTGAAAAATGGTCCTGAAAGTCAAAATTTGGCTTATTAGAAAAATTGTTCTTGATGGCTTGTCTAAGTTCCTCAATATTCTCCTCAGAGATTTGTTCATCACCATCACTCTCCTCTGTGCATGTTCCTGAAGATTCCTTTACTTCTGTTTCCCTATAAACTTCCTCATCCTCTGGATCGTTGTCTTTAGATGGTCGTGGGGAAGGAATTTCAAACACTGGCCAGCCAATGTCAGAAAGATTTTTGATGCCCAGTACAGTTCCCATAATCCTTAGTTTTTGATTTAAGTCTTTTGTAATATTTAACCATAGACAGAGCGCCTGCACTCTGTCTTGGAAGTCCTTTGCAGCATACTTTTCATAGTCCTTTTGAAGAGCCTGCAGAGATGGATAAAGTGCTTCGATATACTCTAGCAGCTCCATTATCCGCTTTACTTGCTCAAATGAGACCCGCTGACGATGGAGGTGTTCGTGGTAACTTGAGTAACCCAAAGCACTAGTTCCATGTGTTGCTTTGCAAACTCCTTCTCCTGAAGTACCATTGAGACTGGCTCCATTTTTTACACAGGAGAAGCTTCCATAGTTCACTTTGAAGGTCAGGATTTCATTGATGATATCGGGGATAGCTTGACGGGCTGCATAGAGATAGAGGTCTTGGTCATTAATGCTCCGGCCAGCATGCCAAGCTTGCAGCTCCAGCCAGATCAGTTCATTGGATCGGTTCAGCCAGACAGAAGAGGTGTTTTCCTGTCCTCTTTGCTCCCTGTCCTTTTTCTTTGAGACTGAGGTAAGTTTTAACAAAAGCCGCAGGGTTTCAAAGAATTTTAAGCGGTCTGCTGGGCAATCCGTCCTAGAAGTCTGGCGTGCAGTTCTGGGTATTGGCATGGGCATAGAGACTGGAAGCTTAGCATTGCTGCAGCCAAGGCTGAGGTAAGGCTTATTGAGATCGACATCTGGAATTGTTTTTTTTGGCAGAGACCCACCAACTGAGTCTAACATAAATGAGCACTGCACATTTTTCTTGTGATCTCGTTCTGTTGTCCTTAGGGTGTCTCGGATCTTTTTTCCTTGCTTGTAGCTGTGCTCCTCTACATTCTCAACGGTCTTCCCATTGTCTTTCTGCACGGACTGAGTTGGCACGTTCATTTTTTCTGTAAGAAAAAAAAAAAAGAATGTGACAGCAGCAACAAGAAAAAGCATCTTTGAATCCAGCTCCTGATCGCATTTCTTAGGTTGAGCATAAAACATTGTTTAACACCAATAAAACAAAACAGGCATGGGTAGAAGTGAAACATAGTCTTGGAAATTACCATTAATTTAGCTAAATAACAGTAGCAACAAAGGAAATTTTTTCTTCCTCTTGCTTTACCTCTTTTGTAGAAAGGACGTCAGAGAATTCTCACTATCCTGAGTACGCCATCTACTCAGAACTGAGTATGATCAAAAGGAAAAGCATTGTTTCCAAGTTCATTTTCCATACATTTGTCACACAATCACACCAACAAAAACTCAAAATGCAACAGAGCACTATTAAGGTTTCCAAGTCAAACAGAATTAAAGAGACTGCATTGCACATGCAATCTCATAAAATCTGGAGCATGTACAGATTCTGAAATTTAGCTTCAAGGATCCGATCCTGGTTCTTGAAGGGCTTGATCTTAGTTCTGGGAACTTAATACACTGCCTTAACACAAGGAACCTACTTCCTCACTCTCGCAGCACACAAACATTTGCCTTCTCCTTTACCATGTAACAGCAGCCCTTTCCTGCCTAACTGTCAATCTCCTCTTCTTTTCCTGTTCTTTCCTCAGGAGTAGCAAACTTCAGCGCTCTTCTGCAGCATTAATGAAAGCACTTCAACCTAGGCTTTGCAGATCAGGACAGGAGGAACTACTTGGTATTAAAACAGTGGTTCTCTCTCTCTCTCTCTCTCTCTCAAGGAATTGATGGCAAGCTGGAGAGAAGGACCTGTATGTAGACAAGCTGCAGCCCAGGGATCAGCAGTTAGAACACAAAAGCTACAGTGCCTTTGCTTATTCAAGAACAGAAAAGACTTTCAAACAATGGCTGAATAAATACTTTGTCGTCTTTTCACTGTTCATCATGACGCCAAGGATTATCTGCTGCACGTGGCTCATTCCCCCCTATAGAAGCAGTAATTTAATCCTTAGAGTCTTTGCTACTGTGCTCCTCCCTATAACATCTATTAATACCAGAAATACTAATAAGCTTATTTGCAAAACAGGCCTGCTCAATGGAAGAAGAATAATACTCTCTTTCTATATACAGAAAACCACGATAGAGAAAGATCTGTCAAGCTGTCATAATTTTGAGTACCAAAACCGGGTAAAGCTATTGCTTAACATTTCAGAACATTGAGCTCTTCATCTTCAATGCTCCCTGACTTCAATTGCACCTTGAATTCTCAACAATTTGCAAATCACATCCCAGAATTTCTAACTTGCTTCTAGGAAAACAAGAAACAGACAGAAGATTTTAAGTTGTGCTATTTGCCTAGCATCACACAAATTTTCATAACCAAATGCTGTTATCGTACGATGCACTTCACTGACTTAATTATGCGATGACCCTTCATTCTTGTTTCATTGACTACATATCTTCCAGCATCTGCAACAAAAGAAGGTACAGCCATACAGAAATCCGTTTCCTTCATCACAAAATTCCAAACAATCTCTACTCATGCAAGACAGCAGTTCTCTGCAAAAGAACTGGTGTGGTAACTTAGCTCAAAGACTAACAAAGGTACACATGCAAAGGCATCATATCAAGGCTGCAGAGACATCTGAAATGAAAGTGGAGAGGTATGTGGTCAGAGCACCTTCCTTTGCCTGTTTCCATTACGAACCCTGTTTTCACCTGTTAACAAGCAATAACCAAATTAATAAGGGTGTAACCTGCCACATTGTCTCCCTTCAATCCCCATATCTAAAAAATATAATTTAACCCTTGCCATAGTTGCACAGGACTGAGGCAAGTCACAATACATACAACGGCATTTACTCAGGACAAAAAAGAAACTATATTCTGAAGGATATGAGCAAGAAAGAATCACAAAGTCATCACAGAAACTGTTTCTTGTAAATATGGACTTGATTAATGCCTCTCATTCTACTGGATCAACTTTTAACAGTACTTTGATGTTAAAGATTTTGGTGACCTTGCAAAATAAATTGAAAACCTTGGTACATTTAAAGATCACTTTCTGAACTTACACTCTAGCTACTAGGAGGTCCTCTAAACCCCTTCAGTTTGTATTTTTAACATGTTATTCTGCTTCAGTATTAATCTTCAGATTCCCCAGTCCATCAAAACACATTGAAAGAAAGGCAAGTTAAAAATATAAGTCATTATTAGACATCCAAAATGTCTTAATATTTGAATATTCATCATACGTAACAAAGCTGTCCTGGTTTTGGCACGATAATCTACAAATTGTTTCAAAATCCTTTCATTTTACCAAATAAACAGGCACCAATGATTCAAATATACCTGACAATTCTGCAATGAGTTTCAACATTACAACTGTATGAGTTCCTTCTTCTAATTTTATTGCAGTTTTGTAATATAGGCTCAAATGAATTTGTAAAACGAATTTAACAGTTCTAACAAATTTTGAGTCACAGTTACCGTTATTGCTACATAGAGCAGGTAGGTTTCACAACTAAGCTATGATCAGCTGGTGAGAGGGGGAAAACAGTAGAGTCTGAGATCTTAAAGAGCTCATTGAAAAAAGAAAAATGACAAAATGAACTTGATGGGTGTAAGAAAGTGGGGCGGACTGAGGTTCCCCTTCAAGTATGAAGTTGCAGAAGTTTCACACTAAAAAATAGACACGGGGCACTGTTTTTTACATAGTCCAAGAAGCTAACACTTCAGTAAGTAAGCAAACATTGCTGGACTGACCTTCCATACCTTGTGAATCAGAAAAAACAGGCAGGAGGCTTATGTGTCTTAGGAGCAACTCTGAAATGCATGTAGTTGGAAAACTTGAATCTTACGGGTCTTGGGCTACAGTAGAAACAATTCAGAAACTGGCTTGAACAGATTATTGCCTTATTTCATAGATTTCATAGATTTTCTAGGTTGGAAAAGACCTTAGAGATCATCCAGTCCAACTGTCCCTAATCTCCCATTAAACCATATCCTTAAGTAGTTCATCCACCCTTTTCTTAAACACATCCAGGGATGGGGACTCAACCACCTCCCTGGACAGCCTACTCCAGTGGCTGACAACACTTTCAGAGAAGAAATACTTTCTAACATCCAACCTGAACCTCCCCTGACTAAGCTTATATCCATTTCCTCTTGTCCTCTTCCTCTTGTCCATTTAGTATTTTTTGATACTAAATGTAAGTTATAAGAAACTTGGTGTGACACAAATTAAACAAATATTGGAAATGCAAGTAAGCAAGTCCCTAATGCCCAAAATACTTCCAGTTGTCTAAATAAAAGAAAGATACATTAAATCTGTTATACATAAACATCTGAAAAGTTACTTTAAATTTACTTTTCAAACTGATGCGTTACATCAAACTATCCTTTGAATGAATTCTTTTACTGAAGTAAAACCAATTCGATCTCAATAACAGTGTATGCATACACTTTCAGGGGCAATCAACTAGTTCACTTTGAAGTTGGTGGGTTTGGGTTTTTGGTTTTTTCACAATACAGAACAAATTTTCTGAGATTGTACATATAGGCAAACTTAAAAAAACAAACCATAAACTTTCCAGAAAAAAATATTTTACACAATCCAATACTGTCTAATTCATCAAAATTAAGGCCAAATATATTTTAAAGATACACTTACAGCAACCAAGAACAAGATATTATTATTCCAGAAGCAAGAACCATTCCCCTCACAAGTACAAAGAGAGAGACCTTTCTTCAAAACCTCAAAATCTACTAGCAGAGATAAACAACAGCTCCCTATTTCTGCTAAAGGTATTGATACTCAATATGTGTTCGGCACCAAAGAGTTACTATGAAATATTATGCATTATAGTTCTTTAGTATCACAACTTCTCCTTTTAGAAACTAACCCATTTTGTTGGGTTTTTTTTAAAGCCTAGAAAGAAACAAGAACATCACAGAAATCAAGGAAAGTTATTACGTTATTACCTAACTACCATACACAGAACTAAATAAGGTTAATGTTGCATTAAAACAGTTTAACTTAGCCAAAAGGCACAATTAAAAGCCAGTAAAAGCAGCTTAATAATTCCAATGCCTACACAGCTAACTGGCAATTACAATGAGATTTCTCTTCAATTTAGTTTAAGGAGGTCTTTTGGTGAATGCTTTCCTCACAGTGACATTATTCAGAGACTGTATGAAATGGAAGGGAACCAAAAGCTTTGGAAGATGTTTGCAACTGAAGAATAGAGTGTATTTTGTTATTCACGCTAAATCATTTACCTTCTCCCCTACACTTTACCTCGAAAATGTAATCCTTACTTGCAAGGATCTTTTTATCACTCTGTGATAACGTTTCCTGTGAAGCAATTTTAAAAATTGCTTCCAATATATTAACTGGCAATAGTCAAGCTGCCATAACAACTCTGGCAAATAACTTTGTCTGATATGGTTGTCTTTTTTTTTAAAAAAAACAAACCAAAAAACACACCAATTACCTCTGAAGGCAATTTTTTCCAACCTCCTGCTCAAAGCAGGGTTTATTTCAAAACTAGTTTAGCCTACTCATAATCTTTTCCACTTGCGTACTGAAAATCTCCACAGATGGAGATTCAACAACCCAACAACGTCTCTGGCAAACTGTTCACTGTTTGACCACTCTCACAGTAAAATTTTTCTTCTAATACTCAAAAGAGTTCTCCCTTGTTGCAACTTAATGACAGCTGTCTCCTGTCCTTTAATTACACCTCAGTACCTGGCTCCGTTTTCTGTATATCCCCTCTGTCAGGTAATGTAGGGCTACTATTATAATTTTATGGTCATTATAGGAAACAAAAAAACAAAACACTACATCTACCTTTCAAAGTGGAACGGCTAGCAGGTCTCCCAACATTGTTTTTCTGATGCTTTGTTGACATACGCTTCATCTGGCGGGGTGTACTAGGAGGCGAAGTTCCATAGAAGGTATCAGCACTTGCTTCATCTGATAATTCCTCAGGGTCAGATTCAGAGATCTTGCAAGTAGCATCTTCTGATTTGCACTC